ACATCTCTAGGCTCAGAGGATGGTTGTTTGTCTTCCCCAGTTCAAGTGCTCCAGGCCCGTGCTACAGAGAGCCACCCACTCGACATCCAAGCGTATAAATCTCCCTTGGCCTGACAGCTGACCGCAAGTTGCTGGAGAAATGACGGGAGCGGCTGGCTGCCTCTCCACCTGTCAGACACTGGAGACAATTCACAGACGGAGTCCACAGCCCCAGCGCAAGTCTAAACACTCCAGAGGAGGCTGACAGCTGGCACACGGGTGTGTATCGAGTAAGACTCAAGCCCTGTGAGCTCATGGATGGCGTTCAAGGACAATTCCACAAACCAGAGTGCCCTCCCTCCCCCAAATCATTCTTCTCCCCCTGCCGAGCACCCTGGCACCGACTGGACAAATTCCCTCAGCAATGTTGGGAAAATATCCAGAGATGGGGAGAGAGAGGAGGCCCTCTTATGCTCAGGCTAAAGCGAGACTTCCTTGTCCACTGAAGGTTCAACAGTTGAGTGCTTGCCAAGAAACCTTCCACACCTCAGACACCAGCGATCTCGTACTGCTCTGAGTGAAGGAGAAAGTCATCTTTGGTATGCAAACATCCTAAGAAATAAAACCTGGACTCCTAGACAGAAGAAAGCAGCTCAGGCCAGGTCCAGTTCACAGGGAACACCCATATGTGGAAATCCACCGAGCTTATCCTCAGGGCCGTCAGTTTTATAACCCTGGGGCCCCTGACGGTAGACAATGCATTGTGTGCTGCTGTCACCCAGCTCGTTCAACTTTTAGTGATTTACTGGCTCTCCTGTAAATCAGCCTGGACAATGGTCTCTGCTCAAGGAGTCTAAATAAGAACTCACAAAGTGACCCGGGGGTTTCCATAGAAATTTTCTTTCCCTAGGAAACTGCCTGATAAGATTCATAAAATTGGAATAACGGGGGAAAAAATTATCAAGGAGCTCAAACTTGTAACTCCCGTTTTAGTTCAAGAAGATAATACAGATTTCTGCTGCCCAGGAAAGGGAGTGGGAAGGTAGAAGTTAATAGAGGTTATGGAAAGGATGAGAAATGTCAGAATATATTTATAACCCAAGAGAATCTGCCCAACACAAACAATGGTCTGTGCTGCCACACACACATATGCAGCACCAAACAAAACTGGTTCCTGGTGGCAACGGGATGTTATGAACTCACCTCTGGCTTGTAGTGCAAGAGCTCCATGTGCCCTGATCCCTGGCACAGCAAACCCCACCCTCCTGCGGACACTTCAGTGAATCCCGTGGGCAGAATGGCCTCCAGGGTGGGGAAATCGGAGTTTCCAAGGCTCAAACTCCGTCTCCTTCACCCCAAAAGACTTTTCATTCTTTGTTTCATGAGGATCAAGAAGAAAGGGACAAGGATTAGTCCTAATTTACTGCCTCTGTCACGAGTCAGCTCTATGAAAGGAGTAAGCGGATTACACAGAGAAAACAAATAGGAGAGGAAAGAGGGCAACGGATAAACTGCATTCAGTAAGATTTATTCATTTGATTTCAAAAGGAAAAGAAGGGACCCATTCTAATGGTTCACCTTCCCACGAAACCAGGAGCGTCCCCCCCCCACCCCAAACTCTAAAGTAAAGTCCTGAAACTGCTGTGAGGTAGGTGTGTCTACAATGAGGAAGCCACGGAGGACAAAACCCCAAATCGTGACCTTCCCCAGCTTCCTCTTCTCAGCCTGGGCCTCCAGCACCCCGACAGGTTTCTCAGGGTCTGGGAGGCAGAAGGAACAGAATGAAGGTGCCCACCTTGCCCCTGCGCACACATCACACAAGTAAGACAGGTGCGGATGCCCGGGCTAAACGCAGCCCAGCTTCTGCCTGGGCACCTGGGCACAGGCAGCCGGACACCCCAGCTGCTGAGGTAACGGTGAAGTTCAGGGCTGGGGTTTTAGAAAACTTCTCTCAGAGAGAAAGAGAGCCGGCGAAAACCCACTTGGTAAGGATTTCCCCTCCCTAGTCAGCCCCAGTCCTCCTCCCAGGACCCAGTCGTCAGTCAGCCGCCTGGAGGGCAGAGTTTTCCAGCTGGGAAACTCCACGGGTCTCATTCTGAACCGAGGCCGGCCAGAGGCTTTCCAAAGGTTCCGGATCAATGGAGCTGTTTCTTCAAGGCCTAAGAAAGTCCGCAGGAAGCCCTGAAAAAGTGGAGATAACAGTATCTTGGGGTGATGGGGCAAAGGGTGGGAACGGGGGGAGAGGGTGGTCAGGGACCTTGGGAAGCACCTCTGGGATCCACGGAACTACAAAGGCCACCCCCAACTCCAAGCCGACCCGGTTCCTACTGGGGAAGAATTCGCACTCACAGCTTCCTCAGCCCGGCTAGCCTTCATTCCGGAAGCGAATCCTCACCTTCAGGGCTATCAGACTTTTCAAAGAAACCAGAACTGAGCCCGAAGGCTTGGGGACGGCCGCGGGGGTGGGGGATGGGGGGGGGGCCCTCTAGTCTTCTCTGCAAGTCAAAGCCAGCCCGAGTGATGGTAAGAAATTTGGGCAGAGAAAGAACTGAGCTAGCAAACCAAAACTAGCACTGCGGTCGAGCCGGGGGCCCTCCGCACCGCGGCACCTCCGGGCGCACTGTTTTTCCTGCGTTGGAGAACCACCCGCCCGCCTCCTTTGCTTCCACCTCCCACCCCCCGGGCAGGGTGGGTGGGAAACGGGAAAAGAAAGGGCTTTGGGTTCCTCTTTGATTTACTCTGTGCCCCCCTTCTCTTTCTGTGTCCCCCTTCTCTTGATTGCAAAGACTCTCCCCAGCTCCATTTTCTCCTCCCGAACCCCGAACTCAAAAAAAATTGACCAGAGGAGATACAGAAAGCTTCCTGATCCCTTCGCCTTGATTACCTACCCGTCGAGCGGTGGGGGCTCCCTGGACTCGGCGGGGCTGCTCAGGGCCGTGGGGGCGCCGGAGGGGGCGCGGGGCGGGAAGGCAGCGGCGAGGTGCTCCTCCGGCTGGCAGCGACACAGGAGGCGGCGGAAGGCGCTCCGAAAGTCCGGGCTGCGGCAGTAGATGAGCGGGTTGAAGGCAGAGTTGGCATAGCCCAGCCAGTTAAGGGCGAGGAAAGTGGGGCCGGACACCAGAGAGGGGCCCCCGAGGGCGCGCACCACATTGACCACGAAGAAAGGCAGCCAGCAGAGAGTGAAGGTTCCCATGATGAGCCCCAAGGTGCGCAGGGCGCGGTGTTCCCGCAGAGGCAGAAGGCGCGCCGGCCGCCGGCCGCAGGAAGGCACCCCCGCGGGCGAGGCGCACGGCCCCGCCGGGCCGGGGGACCCGGAGCGAGAAGGAGCCGGCGGAGACTCCTCTGGCGGGAAGCGACCCAGCTCCCGGCGCAGCAAGCGCAGCTGGCGCGTAGCCACCACGAAAACCCGTGCGTAGACGAAGAGCATCACCAGGAGAGGAAGATAGAAGGAGACCGAGGAGGAGAGCAGCGCGTAGGGCATGTTGGAGGCGAAGGCGCAGCAGCGCGGGTTGGAGTGGCAACGCTGAGCCTCGGCATCCGCCCCGATGCGCCACCATTTGCTCATGATGGGCGCAAACGACACCGCGGCGGACACGACCCACACCAGGACCACGGCGGCTCGGGCGCGGCGTTTGGTGACCAGAGCGCCGTAGCGCAGCGGGTTGGTCACGGCCAGGTAGCGGTCCACCGCCAGGGCGCACAGGGTTTCGATGCTGGCGGTCACACACAGCACGTCCACCGAGGTCCACAGCTCGCAACTGGTGACGCCCAGGGGCCAGTGGCCGGTCAGCGCCAACGTGGCCCCCGGGGGCACGACCAGGAGCCCCACCACCAGGTCGGCTGTGGCCAGCGAAGTCACGAACACGTTGGTCATGGTCTGGAGTCTCGGCGTCCGGGCGATGGCCACGATTACCAGCAGGTTGCCTCCCACGGTGGCCAGCACCGCTAGCGCCAACAGCGCCCCCGCCAGCGCCACCGCCCAGGGCACCCCTGGCAGCCCACTCGCGTTGGCAGTATTGGGCGCCAGGGTGGGGATATCTGGCCACGGGGTCAGAGAGCTGTTCCCGGGAGGCCACGGAGCCATCCCCGCGTCGCGCGTGGGGCAGGAAGGAATGAGGGAAAGGGGCTCCCAGCTCACCCTGCTCAGCGGAGGGGGCATCGGGGCGTGGGAGCGATTCCCCCGGCCTGGGTCATCTTCCCCAGCTGACCGGCCTAGAACGCACAGTCTCCCCGCCACCCCCACCCCTTGGGTGCCACCGCTGGGGAGGGGGTGGGGGTGGGGGAGTGGCGGCCCTTAAAGGGGCAGCGGCCAATAGTCTCCTCGCTGGGCCTCCGGAGGGGGAATCGAGCCGTGGGGACTGAAGCCAGATGGACGCCCGACTTCCCTATTAGTCAAACCCCCAGTAAGATTCGTAAGAGTAAAGTCACGCCGTGTGTTCTGACAGCTCCCCGCACTCTGGCGGCACTGGTTTTCTGGAACTCTGTACCAATTTCCTGGGAAGGTCCAGGAGCATCGCTCAGAGAAGGAAGAACCCCCGCCCCCTTACCGTGTTGGAGGGAAAGGTAACCCCCTGGAAGCAAAGGAGAGGACGCACAGCAGCCCCTCCTCCACGCAGGCATCCTCCCCTGAGACTCTGTAAGTTAAGTTATAGACACACTGGCTTCTTCCGTCTTCTCCCAAGACCTCCTTCCATGAGATCTGGCCCCTACCCTTCTATTCACTTACTTCCCCTGTCATTCTAGTCTAACTTTTCTTTCTCTTTCTTTTTTCCCTTTTCAGCTACTGGGAAAAATCAAAACAAAAAACAAAAAAAACTTCCATTTTCCAGGAGTCTTTTTGATTACCTGCTCTTTTGAGCTTAAATTTGACCTCTGAACTGAGCCCAGGATGCTACGAGTTTCCATTTCTGTCTTCCCCACTCCATGTTGCCCCTTCCCCACAATTTCCACGGAGAAAACTTCTAGATGGACCCCTTTCTTAAAACACTTCTAAACACTTGTAACGACTGTGCTGAAAATGAATGAATGGGGATTTCTCTGGTGGTACAGTGGATACCCTGGTAGCTCAGATGGTAAAGAATCCTCCTGCAATGCGGGAGTCCCGGGTTCTATCTCTGGGTAGGGAAGATTCCCCTGGAGAAGAAAATGGCAACCCACTCCAGTATTCTTGCCTGGAAAATCCCATGGACAGAGGAACCCGGCGGGCTACAGTCCATGGGGTCGCAAAGAGTCAGACGACTGAGCGACTAACACATACAGTGGATAAGAATCTGCCTACCAATGCAGGGTATACAGGTTCGATCCCTGGTCCGGGAAGATTCCACATGCAGGCAACTGAGCCCCTGGGCTGCATCTTCTGAGCCCACTCTCTAGAGTCCGTGAGAGACAAGTAATGAGACTGTGGTGCAACGACTGAGCCCGAGTACTGCACCTACTAAAGCCCGTGTGCCGAAAGCCTGTGCTTTGCAACAAAGGAAGCCAGCACAATGCGAAGCCGGTGCGTAGCAAGGAACAGTAGCCCACGCTCACCGCAACTAGAGAAAGCCCAGCAGCAATGAAGACTCAGCACAGCCAAAAATAAAGAATGAATGAGATTTCCTCGGTGGTCCAGTGGCTAAGACTCCACACTCTCAATGGAAGGGAGCCCAGGTTTGATCCCTGATCAGGGAACTAGATCCCACCTGCCACGACTGAGACCGAGGGCAGACATTAAAAAAAAAAAAAAAATCAAGGGCTTCCAGGTTGAGGCTTATCCACCATCACTCCCAGCTCTCCACAAATCTTCCATCACCATGGCAAAGTCTTCTCTACTTCCCTGAAGATTTTATTCATGAACTTTTAAAAATTAGAAGACATTAGGGTGAGGACTTCACACACTGTATCTCGGAGTGTGTGGCACCACAGGCCTGGCACTTGAATGCCTGCTGGAGTCTCTCCTTCAACGAAATCAGAGGTTCCCCCGCACCTAAGAAGCCCAGGGCCTCCTCCCCCCGCTCCCCTCCCCCAGACCGAAGGCTGGTTCTCAGCCAAGCTCTGTCTCTAAGCCAGTTCCTCTCAAACTGGGTGTGGGGAGATGAAACTGAAAAACACGCCCCTAGGTTCAAGTTGAAGGGCAGGAAGATCTGATACCCTTATTAAGTCCTACCAGAACCTGATCCTCGAGCCATCTTGCTTCCTCTCCCGAAACAATGGGAGAAAGGGGGGAAGATATCATGGAAAAAGCCTCCAGGGCCATGCCTTAGCAAGTCTCTTTTGAAGAGCTCTATATTTCAACAGTACCCTGTCGAGTCACTGGTCTCAGCAATCCCTCTGGGAGGCCGAGCCAGGGGCTAGGAGCTGGAGAGACTGGAGGCGAAGTGAAGACCTAAAATTATCCCCAAGGAAAAAGAACCCATGTCATCTCCCAGGGACCCTGTGCTCACCCGCGAACAGGGCTGGCCAGTGGCTCCCAAGCAAATGCCTTCCGTGCCCAGGCTGCACCCCGGGCAGGCCCAGCCTCTCCCCTCACCCCCCGCGCCAGCAGTGCAGGTCCCACTTGGCCAGAGCCTTGACCTGGTCCTCTTGCTGACCATCAGGGCAATCCATCCCAAGTCAGGTTTTGCAACACCCCAGAGTGTTGCCAGTTATCCCCAAGGGGTGTCAGAAGAGTCTCAAAGAGTTACCTCTAAAACAAATCCCAGCCATTCAGCAAGGTTTGGGGTTTTTTGTTTTTTGTTTTCAGGACATCTGAGTTGGTTGGGGGGAAAGGAGAGGGGTGCCAGGAAGTCAAGTCGCTTCAAAGGCTGCCGTGGCTTTAGGGGTGACCTTGTTAATCTAAGGAAGTGTGTTCCAATGTTTACGTTTCAAGAAAGACAAGATTTCCCAAACCACATGCGTGTGCCTGCCTTTGGGGAATGATTAGGCCTATAGCCAAAGGCGATTGTGGGGGAGAGGAATTCTGGCCCCTGTTTTGAAGGCTTTTAGGCACCAGCAGAGAGCCGGGCCCAGCACCTGGAGAGCTTTTCCTCTGCTCTGGCCCATCCCCGCAGTGTTCTCAGTCTGGCTGGCCCATCCCCGACCCCACACACCATCCACCCCTGGCCTTGGGGCCCCCCGCAGGGAGGAGTCCATCTTCCATCACTTGGGTCTCTTCTTCCTGTGCTTTTGTGTTTCTTCATTTTATGTTTTGAATCCGTAATACATTCACATTATTCAGCTATCAAAATACACAAAATCATATACTAGAAAATTGCCTTCATCTCAGTTTTCAACTCCCTAATAGTAGCCACCGTTAGTCTCCTGTTTATTTTTCTGCTAATATTTTACATAAGGTCAATGAAAAATATATGTGTCTTTGTCCTTTATTTTCCTTTCTTTTTGACCCAAATAGTAGGAAAATATACCCACTGTCCTGAACCTTGCTAATGTTAACAATATATATCCATAATTCTTTCATAATAACGCCCAAAAGCCTCCCATTTTCAGTATTCTTTTGTGGGGATATACCATAATCTATGAAACCAAACAGCTACTGATAGACATCTCATTGACTTCCAATTGTTCCTAATAGGTAACGTTGCAGCACATCACTTGTAATCTTGTCATTTCACATGTGTGTAAGTGTATTTGTAGAATAAATTCCTGTAGAATCACTGTATCATGCAGTATACACATTTGCAAATTTAAAAGATACGGCCAAATTTCCTTCTCCAGGCGATGTACCCATTTACCCTCATGCCAGTGTTTCTGATGGCCTGCCAAGGGTGGGAGGCAAGTGACCCACTGCCGGGAAGTCATCCTAATTACTGGCCACAGGGGAGTTAGGCTGCCCAGTCTATAGGGGTCATCCAACTGTGGACAGAAGCATGCATTGCCCAGTGAGACTTTACCCTGGCCCTGGGCCCCCAGATGACCTTTGTCCTGTGCCCTTGGAGGCAGACTGGGAATGTGGGCCTCTGAAGCTACTGAGGTCAGGCCGCTGCTGTTTCTGTACTGGGGGCTCCAAGGATGCAACAGGTCATCCTATCATGTCAGGGGCCACTTGTGTGATGGTCTGTGATTTGGAGAACGTGGTCAGCAGAAGAGGCAGCTGCCACCTTGCCCTGTGGGCAGAAGTTCTAATAGCAGGACATGCTCTCCTACCCTTGTTGATTGTAGCTCGTGGTCAATCCCCTGAGCACCACAGCTGGGTCCGCGTACGTGTGTGTCTGTGCGCGTGTTTGTAGGAACCTAGCTCAGGAGACTGAGCCTTGTGCTTTCTCCAAGACTACCTGTGTTCAAGCTTTCCCCTCTCTGCCCTGTCTCTCTTCAAACATCATGTGTAGGTGTGACTTCTGAACAGCTGACTTTCTAATCTTTGCTTCTCCTTCGGTCAAAATCAGTCCGGGAGGGTAGGATGATGGTGGCACCGAAGAAGAGCTAAAAGTTAGGGCCTGAAAAAAATAAAAAATAAAAACAAATAAATAAAAGTTAAGGCCTGAAAGATCCAATCCAACACCAACATTGGAAAGACTGAAAAACCTTCAGTCTGGGGGACTTCCCAGGTAGTTCAGCAGTTCAGAGTCTTCGATTCCACTGCAGGGGGCGAGGGTCTGCTCCCTGGTTGGGGGACTAAGATCCCACATGTCATGGGGCATGGCCAAAAACTATAAGAAGAAAAAGAAAAAGCTGAGGTCCAGAGGGGAAACTGAGGCTGGACCGAGATCACACAGGAAAGGTTCACTCGGGCATCCCAGGTAGGGTCCGGGAGGGTGAGGGAGGGAGGGAGCAGGAGAGGGTTACCCAGCAGCCCCCAGATCCTGCACTCACCCTGGAGACTGGCTTACTTCGTTGCAGCCCACTTCTCTGGGACCAGGAAGAGGGCAGATCAGCTGTGCTGCTTGGATCCGTGCTTTCTTCTGTCCCTGGCCCCGAAAGGGAAAGCTCGGACAAAGCCTGGTCCTCGAGCTGCACATTCTCTGGCCTTTCTGTCACATCAGCCCATACTTTGCCTCCGGGAACAGGTGCTGAGTCAAAGGTGGCTGGTGCTTGGAAGGACAGGGAGCGGAACAAGGGGATGGCTTCTTCCCCAACAGGGAAACCCATGCCTCGAGTATGAGACCCTCCAGTTCAGACAGAGCCTGGAGCTTTCCTTCCCATCTGGAAAGAGGAAGGAAGCTGAGCCTCACAAAGGCTCTGGGGTGGCCAAAGCCCATCAGGAAAGACCCCCGTCTGGGGGCGGTCAAGGTCCGGGTGCCTGCAGGGAAGCTATGGCAAGGGGAAAATGTTTCTTGTTTTTAATAGGGAAATGGCACTTTTCTTTTTCAATCCCAAGGAGAGAGAAGGCATTTTGCTGCAACAGGAGGAGGAAGAGGAGACAGCCTCAGAGCTGCCACGGGGACCCTGCTGGTGTGGGGTGCAGCAGCCTGGGGCTCACTGGGCACTTTTCTCTCTGCCAGTCCCCACATGGCCACCTGATGCAAAGAACCGACTCATTGGAAAAGACCCTGATGCTGGGAAAGATTGAAGGCGGGAGGAGAAGGGGCAACAGAGGATGAGGTGGCTGGATGACATCACTGACGTGATGGACAAGAGTTTAAGTAGGCTGCAGGAGTTGGTGATGGACAGGGAAGCCTGGCTGGTATAGTGCATGGGGTCACAAAAAGTCAGACATGATTGAATGACTGAACTGATACAAAGGTGATTAGGACCAGTCCAAGCCGCTGGCAGGAACTCCCATCCCATAGAGAAAGTTGGGGTTCACTTCGTTCCGTGGAAGCAGCACTACCAGTGTTTGACGGGCAGTTTTGGACACAGACATCAGGCAGGGCAGCTTTGTCCCGTGGTGAAGGGAAAGAAAGCATCCCTTGGGGAAATCAAGGTGGTACCATTAAGGACAGCCTGCTGGACCTTAGCTCCACGCCCCCACCCCCCAACAGACAGGTTCTTCCCTCACTACTAGAAAGACAAAGGCATTTAACTCTCTTTCCTCCCAATCCTGGCCACACCTCCTGCCTCCCAGGGCCTGAGTCTGCCCCACCCCCACCCCGGCCCCCAGGGTTCCTGGGCTCCTGTGAAAATGCTGCTTCAAGGATGCTCTGCGGGAGGTGGGCAGCAGAAGGAGGCTGGGGTGGTCCTGTCTCCTTTACAAATCGCACTATTGGGATTTAGTAGGAGACTGTCCGGGGTCACACAGGAAATGACCAGCCTGGCTCTCTCCTCTGGCCTTGGCGGGCAGCTTGTTCCACCTTCTCCGTTGGACAGGGTTAGGGAGCTGAGGGCAGGGAGGTAGAGGTGAAGGGTGGGCTGGAGACTGGGGGCCAGCCGTTAGCATTGACCTCCGCTTCCTAGAATCTGGGTTGCTTCCTAGTTCCTGGAAGGAGATGAAAGGGTTAATCCAGGGGTGCTGGAGGGTGTAGAAGAAGAATGGGTGAAGGAAGGGTGAAATTCGGAGCCGGTGGCATTTTGACAAACCCGGGTGAGGCTGGGCATCCCCACTCCATCCCCCAAGCAGGAAGGTGGCTTTGTCTCTAGGGGCACAGTCTCTCTGCCAGCCCAAAGTGAGGAGGACCTAGAAAGTGTAGGGGATGGAAAGACAAGAAGGAAAAGAATGTAAACAGTGCTGGGAATGTCAGCTCTCTCCTGGGGGTGGGGCGGGGGGGGGGGTCTGTGGAAGACAGCCCTGGATTTCTAAAAAGCATCCATCTTTCCTTTGGCTAAAAAGCATCTATCCCCCTGCCAAGGTTCAGGGCTCCTCAAGGAGAGAGGATCACCCCAGCTTCCTTAGGTACCCCAGCCTCCCACAAAACAGCATTTTCATAGGAGCCCAGGAGCCCTTGGGGGGCAGACTCGGGCACAGGGAGGCAGGAGGTGTGGCCAGGATTGGGAGGAGAGTTAAATGCCTTCCTCTTCCAGTAGTGGGGAAGAACCTTTTTATTTCCTTTGCAAAAGGAAATAAAATATTTCAAATGGTGCCACGGACACTCAAGGTTCAGGGCTTCCATGGCTCTCAAAGCCTGATCAGAACCACAAAATACCAAAGAAATGACATGATCAAGGAAAAGAGTCCTTGCTAAGGGCACTGTGGGCTTCCTCCATTTCTTCATCCCCAACTCCGGAAGAAGGAGGAGCTAGCGAATCAATCAGGATCTATTTCACATCGTGCCGAGGTCGGGGTCTGGGGAAAACAGGGATCCATCAGTTCTTAGGAACCAGTTGGAGAAAGGCTCACATTCTTTGCCTAGCCATCCACCCGTGAAGGCAGGCGGCACTGATGTACACAGTCAGCAAGGCAGAGGCTCAGATGGGAGAGCACCCCCTCCCCACACACACATGCACACACCTGCAAATAAGCACACCCCATTGTGAGTCCTGCAACACTGGAGATGTGAACACACAATCCACAGAAACTCAATCAGACGTGCAACCTCCTGGCCTGCAGCGAGCTATTGCCTCCATATTTTTAGTCACGTACGCCCAGTCTGGGTCCACACGCCCATGGGTGCATCCCCCCACCCCCGCGCCGAAGCCCAGAGCCCATGCTCCACGGGCTTGCTCCAGCTGATCAGCTGGGAATGAAACGGCAAACATCAAGGCTGCAAAAGGCTTCAGCCCCACGCAGAAGCGGAACCAGGTCAGAGGCCGACACCCCCGACAGCATCCTTCCTACTCATCTCTCCGAAGTGGTGCTAATGGCACAGAATGCCAGGTTCCCAGTCTGTCGTGGGAAAGTCCTTTCAAAGCATGAAGGGCAGAGCAGCCTAAATTAAACCCAGCACCAGCCCAGCTTGCTCCAAGGGGACAAGTCCCTGACTGACCAACTGTCTGCTTTGCCTTGTCATTCATCCCAGGGAAACAGGCCCGTCCTTTTTTTGGAAGACGACGGCTGAGAAAGAATGCCTGTGTAATGGCGTCCATTACTCATTCATCAATCAACATCTACTATATACAGCCCTGGACTGGGCCCCCAGGAGAGATGCTGGGAGACCCCAAGAGGTATCAGACACGGTGGCTGCCTTCCCACAGAGTCCATTCTAGAAGGCAAGGCTTAAACACCAGAAAATAAGTGCAGCTTGACGAGGACAGAGAAAGGGCAGTGAGCGCTGGAGTTTGCTGGATTCTAAGAAAGAAGAAATCACTTCCAGATGAGGGTGATTAGAAAGGAACTTCATGAAGATGGGGATTGGAGTTGAGTGTGAACAAGTGATTAGGACTTGGAAAGGCAAAGAAGAGGGACAATGGCGTCCCAGATGTAGGACTGGCATTAACAAGACAGCATTGGTTCAGACTGGTGGCTTCTCGAAGCGGCCGTGCACGCCTTGTTTAACAATGTGGGCACCCTGGAGAAGGGCCCCAAGGGCATTTATTCATTGTTCTCAGCCTAACTCCCAGGTGCCTTCATTCCTTCAGTCCTAGTTGCACTCACAGAAGTGATGTTCATTACATCTGGGCTCTTGTTTTAAATTTGATAAAAGGTAATATCTTCCAACTAAAAAGGCTTCTCTTTCCCAAGATATCCCACCATGGTCTTCCTTGAACACTCTTTCCCCAACTGACTTGCTCTTAGCAACCTGGTCGATGATCATCTCCTCCCAGGGTAGCTCTCTCACCTGATTCACCAGCCCAGGAAGAGGGTGGGAAGCCCCCCTCTGGACATTTCCAAGGAGCCTTCCCTCAGCACAACTCCTGAGAGGTTGCAGCATCCCAGGAAGAACAAAGCATCGATAAAAGTTGTTAGAGGGACTTCACTGGTGGTCCACTGATTAGGAATCTGCCTGCCATTGCAGGCAACCAGGGTTCGATCCCTGGTGAGGAATCTAAGACCCCACATGCCCAGAATGTGGCAACTAAGCCTGTGGGTCACAGCTACTGAGCTCACACTCTAGAGCCCACGAGCCGTAACTACTGAGCCCCAGAGCCACAACTACTGAAGCCTGAGCACCCATCTGCTGTTGCTGCTAAGTCACTTCAGTCGTGTCCGACCCTGTACGACCCCATAGACGGCAGCCCACCAGGCTCCCCTGTCCCTGGGATTCTCCAGGCAAGAACACTGGAGTGGGTTGCCATTTCCTTCTCCAATGCATGAAAGTGAAAAGGGAAAGTGAAGTCACTCAATCGTGTCCAACTCCTAGCAACCCGATGGACTGCAGCCTACCAGGCTCCCCTATCCATGAGATTTTCCAGGCAAGAGTACTGGAGTGGGTGCCATTGCCTTCCCCACCTGAGCACCCTAGAGCCCTGCAAAAGGAGAAGCCACTGCAATGAGGAGCCCGCGCACTGCAACTAGAGAGTAGCTCCCACTCTCCACAACTAGAGGAAAAATGCACGTGGCAACGAAGACTCAGTGCAGGCAAAGATAAAAAGAGAAAAAAAGAAAGAAATGTTGTTAGAACCATTGTCAGGCCTGCTGCTTTAAGGATAGTACAGCATGTGGATTTGAGAGAGATAGAAAGATGCCCTCTTCCAAGGGAAAAAAAAAATTCTCCTGAAAGTCCCATCACTATAAATGCATGCTTTTGACTGATGGTCTTACCTCTTATTAAAATGAAAGGACCCCAAAAGAGAAAGGCTCTTGGTCGATTATACCTTAGGGCAATTGATTTTATAAGCTCCCAGCCCTGAGAAGTTTGTCCAATGGGTAGAGCACATTAGGAAACCTAGATGCTCTTGGGGGAAATGGCAGGAATTTCTCTGTGTGTAGCCCAGTCCCAAGCAGGGCAGTATTTGAGGGACTGAGTCATTTGATAAGGGTTAGGTATGGTCCCTCTGAGCAGCTTGTGTGGATGATGTCTCCTGTGCTAAGCATAACCAGTAAGATACTATGGACTGGATCAGGATTCTTTCATGAAACTTTGAGACAAGGCTCATTTTTGGTAAAACAAGGGAGAGGAATGAAGGGATAGGTGACCTGAACTCTATTGACCGGTCATAACAGTGATTACATGTTAAACTAAAATAATAGACCTCTGCAGAGTCCAACCGTGAGGTGCTTTGATGGGTCACCTGTGTTCTTTAAAACATCCACATCCCCTAGTGAAATCATTTCCCCCCCATTCTAGTAAGTGGCAAATTTCTTCTGCCAGGTTCTCCGGCCAAAACTCTTGGTC